ACCAAACAACAAAAATACCATTCAAATACAAGAAATTAAAATTAATTTCCCTTACCTAGGTTAAACAACCTTTTCTCTTAAAGGAGCTCTATAGAACTCTATTCACAAAGAAAGACCTAAATTGACATCAAAAGCCTAATTAGAGAAACTAATCATATAATCTAGATCATAGAGCAACAAAGATTATTGCAAGCTTCTTTAATACACATGTATAAGCCTAAAGCCCACATGCAATGCAAAAAATGAAATACCTCAAAAAGGGTAAAAAAGAACTTACTCTATTTGACTCTCTGAATTTTAGAGCTCCTAACAACAATCGATTCTATGGTCTCTAATCTTATAAGGGACAAAGATATAGATTGATATCCTAAAGGGAAGGAAGAGAAAACTTAGAGGTAGTTTTTCTAAAGAGAAAGTGGATTTATTATAATGAACTTCATTTATTAGAAATAAGTTTTATAGTTTAAACCTTTATATATTAAAATATTATAATGTCATTATTTTAAAACTACTACTACTTTAGGTTTTTTCTTAAGTTCTCACATTCTTCCCAAAAGAAAATCTTTTGACCCTTAAATTAACTTACGAGGGAAAAGGTGAAGGTAAAAATTCCTCGTGTTCTCTTTAAACTTCAAGGTTACATCACTCGTCCTAGCATCCACAACACTTTAACTAAATTGATTGTCTTTTTCCTCAGCCACTTGGTAAGATATTCATTTATCCTTACTAGTTATACCTCCATGAATAAATCTTCCTTTACTTGCACCTCATCCAGCTCCAACATATGCATAAGGTTAGACATATACTTCTTTTTTGTGATATGTGAAACACATTATGTAGGTTTGACAAGTAAGAGGTAAAACAACCTCAAAAGCCACTAGACCTATCCTTCACAAGATTTAATAAGGTCCAATGAAAATTAGGAGAGAGCTTTTTAGACTGGATAACCCTTCTCACACCATTTCTTGAGGTTATCTTTAGAAAAACATGATCCCTAGCTTCAAAAAGTAGCAATGTTTCCTTAGATCAATGTAAACTTTTGCCTACTTTGAAAGACTCCATTCTATCTTGTATCTTAAATATTTCAATTCGTCTACAACAACAACTTTGGCTAAACCAATATGCCTCCCTCGTCTTGGATTACCATCAACAAAGAGTGTCCTAATCTCTTAACCATACAACAATTCATAGGAGTCATTACAATAATAGCTTGATGATGTTATTGTATATGAATTCCATTAGGGGGAAAACTTCATCCTAGCTACCACAAGATATCTAACACGCAAGTTCTTAGTAGATCTTTAAAAGATTGAATATTGCTTTCAGATTGTCCATCAGTTTGAGGATGATAAGTAAAACTCATCCTTAACCGGCTCCCCAAAGCATTTTGTAGCATCTACCAAAACTGAGAAGCGAACCTAGGATCCTTGTCTAATATGATACTTGATGACATTCCATGTAGCTTCACTATCTCTTTAATATAAGTTATGCTAGTTTGAACATATACTACAAATATTCTTAGAATTACTGACTAAAATAATTTCGTCAGTAAATTTGATTTATCGATGAATTTTACAATTTTAACTATTGACAAATTTTATTGATGACTTTTTCTATCGGTAAAATTATCGATAACTACATACCTTAAAAGTCATTTGTAAAATCCACTAGTAATTTAAAATTCTTATAACCAATTTATTGGTTAAAAGAAAAACAAATTTTTTGCCCAAACTTGTCTTATCTCTTTTGCCATTCTCTTTACCTCCTACCACGTTCGAAACATATTGTTCAACGCTATGTTCAGCTTTATTTCATAATAGGCATTTTTCTTCTTCAACCGCAAGTTATAACTCTCTCTCTTTCATTGTTGCTTTCACATCAACTTCCATTAAGTGCTTCAACAAGTCTATGTAGTAAGAAGAGAGAAACTCCAATATGATGATTTTGTGCACCTAGCAATAGTAAGAATTGCAAGGGATACCTTAAATCATGGAATAGTTGTAGCCCAACACTTCAAAGCTCATGGATTTTGGATGATAAAGCACTGTTTTCCCATTTCTAATCACTCAAACCCAGCTTTGTGACCAATCAAAGCTATGCACATTGCTTTAGCGGTGCTTTTCTTGTTGCTTTATTATGGCTTTTGAGAATTTTGGACATGGTAGAAAGACTAAATAATAAGGTTGTAGAAAAATAAAAAAATAAAAGGAAGAAGATAAATAAGGGACGAGGAAGAAGATGAACCAGATCATGATATTTATTGACAAATTTTTCTATCAATAATTATCGATGGATTTTAGCAACAAATTTTTTGGTCGGTAATTATTGATGAATTTTAGGAACAAATTTTTTTATTGTTAATTATCAACAAAATTCTTGTTGTGTAAGATATCATAATTTTGATTTACCAACCGACTTTAAGTGTTATGATAATATTAAATTTATTTTATTAGTCATCCTTAATTTATTGTAGAAAATGAGCATCTTTGTTAATATGTTCACAATAATGCACCGAATAATTGATTTCATAATACACCAATTTGACAAATACATTGACTAGAGAACAACTTTAGCAACACATTGGATAAACAACTTGTCTTTTTATCATCTTTCTTCTCCATCTTTAAGAATGTTTTATTTCTTATTTAAGCTTATGATCTTAACTTCATTTAATCACTGGAAAATCTCAAATCCAACCATGCTTGCATTCTCTATAAAGTAATAGACGATTTGACACCGTAGACGATTTGTGAGCTTGCGACACTACATAAAGCACACATTATTCATCAAAATTTAGCTAACAAATTATTCATCAAGTCGTCTAGAAGATTTCATCATACTAGTTTCTTTAATTAGATTTTTCTAACTAGAGTGTCTAGTTCGTTCCTAAACCGACTACTACCTAAAAAAACTTAAAAACCTTATTTTAATATATAATTTCATTCAATGCTCATTATATTTTATTTGGACAAATCCCAGTTAAAACATTACATTTAAACTCACTAAAATTAAATATATAAAATTGATGGTTTGTTAAAGATACTCTTTATATATATATATATATATATATAATAATATATATTAATATATTAATATATATATATTATATAATATATATATAATCTATAATATATAATATAATATGGGTTTGTAACGCGCGTACGCTGGTTTTTCAGTTGGTACATTTTAGCATGTTACCGGATTTAGTAGACAAAAATACCTTATATATTATGAATTCTAAGTTTTAAGGTAAGGGGATTTTAATAATGTTCATTCTCAAAACTTAAAAAAAAAAAAAGAAACCCCTCATTCATGTTAATCATTTCTCTTTCATCTCTCTATACTCCACTTTCTCTATCGTCCCTAAGTAGCCTCAATTGAAAAAAAAATCGTAAACACAGCCTTATAACAAAAAATTCTTTGTAAAGAGTTGATTCATTGAAGATATTCACCTTCAAGGCAAAGGTTCATTCAAGATTCTTCAATGTCACATCTTCACTAACCCTCTCTAATTCATAATTGTATTTGTTGAATCAGCATCTATAAAAAACCCTCCAGGCCCAATTACCAATTCTTTCGGATATCATTATGCTTGTGGAAAATTAGATAAAATTAATACGACAAAAATTAAAAATGAAAAACTCATTATAAAGTCATTTTTGTAAGAAATTGTTAACAACTGAGTGTTTCTGATTCTTTTCCAGGCCAATTACCAATTCCTTTGATGTCATTACGCTTGTGAAAATTAGATTAAATTAGATAAGACAAAAATTATAAAATAAAAACTCATTATAAAAATCATTTTTTGTTAAGAAATTGTTTACAGCAGTAGTATTTCTGATTTTTCCAGGTTCAATTACCAATTTCCTTTATGCTTGTGAAAATTGGATAAAATTAGATAAGACAAAATTATAAGATGAAATCATATTTAAAATCATTTTTTGTAAGATTGTTTAACCGCAAGTTTTCTGTTTTTTCAATGGGGCTACAGTAGGGATGACAAGAAAAAATTGGAGTGAGAGAGAAGGAGGAAAGAGAAAGCGTTGAGAGGGATGAAAGAGGTGAGTAAGGGTTTAGGCGTTCTTTTTTTTAGTTTTGAAATGAAATTATTAAAATACCCTTAACCTTAAAACTAGAATCCATGATATATAAGGATATTTTTGTTTACTAAAAACCCGGTACACATTGCTAAAATGTACCAACTGAAAACAGGCGTACGCGCGTTAGCAAACCTCTATAATATATATATATATATGTTTATGTTTTTATCATGAAATTAATACTTAAATTATGTTAATTATGATTATTAAAATAATAATGGATTTTAGTTTTCATAAATTTATTATAAAAATTATTTAAGTAGTATTTAATTAATATCTGTTAAATCATTTTAATATTTTGTGTAAAATAACTTAAAATATGAATTATATTCAACTCACAATTTTTATTATATATATTTGTTAATTTAATATATAATTAATACGGATTATTATTCATTATTATATAACTAAATTAATAAATCTTATTAATTTCTCTAAGGATGAATAGGATTATAAAATTATAAAAATTTAAAATAATAAATTCATATTTTTTATCACGCATTAATAATTATTTTTAATTTCAAATATATTTAAAATTGGACATCTATTATTATATGATATATAATATATGGAGAAAAATTTGGATTATTTAATATAATATAATATATATATAATATATATATCTATAATATATATTAAATTAACTTAAATAAAGTTGCTCAGTTGTGTTAATTAGTTTTTTAGATATTAAAATTTTTAATCTAAGTATTATGTACTTTTATTTCTTAAAGTTTTCTTCAATTCATGTTTATAAAAAAAGAAAAAATTTGGCCAAAGTTTAGTTTCTTACCTATGTAAAGTAAAGCGTGCTGGGTAAGTAAGAGAAAATTTGAAGTTCTCATGCAATTTAAGAAGAGAAAATAGGGTCCATAAACATCCAAAAACTAGAGAACAAAAGTCTTTATGCACGCTTTAAATATCCTTTATATGCTCTCTCCAACTCTACTTATATCAATCAATCTCATAATTGGAGAGAGAGAGAAAAAAAAAACAGAAGAAAGTTTTGGTCAGGGAAGAATAACCCACACTCACTCACTTCACTTTCTAGCAAGGGAGAAAGTGAACCTCTAGTTTTCTCATAGTGTAAGTGGAGAAAGCTCAAACACACAACAACATACTATTGATGTTGTTCTTCATGATGATCATGAGAGAGAAAGGATCAGCAAAAACAAAAAGAGATCAACAGTAACAAAATAGGTTGTTCTTGCATATTTTCCTACTGCTCACTGCCCCTCTTTCTCTGCCCTTTTTCTGAACCATTCAGATTTCAGAACCCCATTTTCCCTTTCTCTCTCTTCAATCAACCCTTCTCTTTCTTTAAACACCAGAGTTAGTGACATTAGCACAACACAGAAAAACCAGAACCAGACACGCACACAAGTGCTGAAACCTCTCACTGCTTCCATTACACTTCTGAAATGCTTATACTTTCCCCTTCTGTAACACTTGCAGAGACCCCACCTTCAACTAATACCCCCCACATACATAGATTTTCCTTCCAAAACCCTCAGAAGATCTAACAACCTTTTCTTAAGTCAGACAATCATAACCACCTTGTTACTACTCATCGCACAAATAAACTCATACATGCGTTCTTCTTATAGTTGTTCTTAGTTATTTTGTATGACACAACAAAGCATATCTAACTGATGCAGAATTGTTACACTGATCTCATCTGATTCGAACAGGATTGTCGATAAAAGAAGCAACTTTCATCTGTGGCTAATCCTACAAGGAGGTTACACCGTTCGAACAAAGTTGTCTGAGAAAAGAAAATACACTTTCAATGGTGAATACTGCTAGGATTTTATTCTGATCTACCTGATTCGAACAGAATTCTAAAAAACACAGCTTCAGTTGTGGCTACTACAAGGAGGTTCCCTTCGGATTCCGGTGCCTTTGTCGACTGGTCAGCGACGCCTTCCGCCGTCTCGGGCCGCGGCGACGACCTCTCTCTCGGCTTCAATGCAACCTCCGCCGCCGCGCACGGCGGCGCATCCATGTGGCCCGGGGCGTCGAGGTCATTCAACCACAACCTTTCACCCCACCACGACATCTTCGTGGTGGCGCCCGCGTCGTCGTTCCATCACCACCACCACAGTGACGCTGTTTTGTCCGATCCAAACAACAACAGTTCCAACGCAACTGCACTCGGCGTCAACGTCTTCCCTCTCCTCACCGCCACGCCATGCCTCACTCCCGAGAGCGAGGGCATAATGGGAAACATCAATAACCACCGCAACAGAATTCAACTATGGCAACCACAGGAATCACCACAGCACCAACACGCCGACGGCGTCTTGGCGGGTAACCACCGTAGCAGAATTCAGTTATGGCAAGAACACGACGAGTCTCCCCCGCCGCAGCAGCAGCAACAACAACACCCGAACGCGCACGTGCACGAGCGGGAGGGGAGTGGGAGCGGTGCGAGCACGTGCCAGGACTGTGGAAACCAGGCGAAAAAGGATTGCAGTCACAGGAGGTGCAGGACGTGCTGCAAGAGTAGGGGTTTCGATTGCGCCACGCACGTGAAGAGCACTTGGGTGCCAGCCGCGCGCCGGAGGGAGCGCCAGCTCATGGCGGCGACGGCAGCGGTTGGGTCCAGTGGGTCCACTTCCGCCACCAAGAAACCTAGGCTCGTGCCTTCCCAGACCACAACCACTTCGCACACTTCCACGTCTAATAACACCACCACTCCTCCTAGGAGTTTCGACACTGGTTCGAGCCACCAAGGTTTGTTTCTGTCTCAAACGAGTTCAAACATTCACTCTTTAGTTTCAGTAATTCATTCTACTTCTTAAATTTCAGGGCTTTTGTATCGAGTTTTTCGTTAAATTCATTCAATTATTGACCTAAAACACTACAGTTCTTGCATTTTTCTAGCTACTACCACTGCTACTGTTATTCTCTAAAACAAACATAAGTTGTTATCTTTTTTTTTTTGAAACATTGGAGAAAGAGAAACAGACAATTTCTTTTCAACCCAAAAGCTTGTATAAGAGAATAAAAATTGAAGTTTTAGTTTGGTAATCTAAAGTTAATGCAAACTTCATTGCACATATTCATCCTGTCCATGGTTTGTGTGTTTCCTCTAAATAGATATTAAATATTTTCATTTTCTTTTATCTTTAGATTTTCATAAGATTTTTATGTTTGGAAACTTAGTATGGGAATCTCTACTTTCTATTAATATCTGGCTGGTTTGAAATAATTCTAGAACACAGAAATATTTTTTAACAATATATGATAAGATAAGCAAAATGTGCCTTTATTATAGGAGCAGTGATTGTATTATATATAGTGCTATTATAATATAAGAATGTTGTTGTTATTATTGTTACAAGTTCTTTCAACGATTTTCATGGGTTAATTGGGATTGTTGTGTGGAACTAAATAGGGTTTTTATTGGGTGCAGATGTGAGTTTCAAGGAGTCACTACCTTGCCAAGTGCGTGCACCAGCAGAGTTCAAGTGTGTTCGTGTCACTGCAGTGGATGATGGAGATGATGAGTATGCATATCAAGCTGTGGTGAAAATAGGTGGTCACGTGTTCAAAGGGTTTCTCTATGATCAAGGGGTTGAAGATAAAAGTGAGTATCCTAATCTATCTGAATTGCATCTCGGTGGTGGTGGAAGTGATGGTGGTGGTAGAAATGGGGTTTCTTCTTCATCTCCAATGGTGAATCCTTCTGATTTCTATGCAGCTTCTGCTGGAGTGTTACTGGGAAGTTCATCAAACTATGGTAATGCAATAAATTAATGAAACAAACTTAGTTTCAGTAGTATAAATGTTTTTAGTGTTATTTTTAATCAGAATAGTTTTATTTCAATTTTATTATGTGTCATGAAACAAACTTAGGTTTAGTAGTATAAATGTTTTTAGTGTTATTTTTAATCAGAATTGAAGTTTTATTTCAATTTTATTGTGTCACATGAAATATTTTCTGAATGTCTTGGTATGTTGTCGAAATAAAACTTTAATTCTGATGATGAAACAATGCTAGTAACAATTATGCTAGGATCTAAGTTTTGTTTTAATTAAATTAAATATTTTTTTCCTAGTGCAACATAGAGGAGCTAGGAACGTCTGACTTTTTTTTCCTATAAGAAGTTAATTCTCTTATTTTACCAATATTGGGGTATAAACTAATTAATATTAGTATTCTCTTATGTTTGTATTTTATAACATATATCACTCTCTGCATTTTCAACTCCTCGGTTTTTGTTCCTTTAAGTGCAATTTTCTCTCATGGTTGACTCATTGCATGAGCAGATCAGTGGATTACAGAGGAGCCACATCATGTCAAGAGAATAGTTTATGTACTAAATTAACTCAGAATTGAAAACCAAATCTGAAAGGAATCTTGTTTTACCAAATTCACTGTTCAAATTCAAAACCTGATTTAATTACAACTATTACTACTATTATGAGGTTGCAATAAATCTTTTAACCAATTTCCATGTTATAGCTTGAATTAAGATGACACTGACAAAAGTAATGAATGTATATGTGTAAATTTAAATAATATTACACTACTGCCGTATTGCATTTTGCTTCTGCCCCGTATTAATCCCTTTAGAATTTTCAAAAGACAAAATCTATTTATTTCTGATTGCATTTTTGTAATATCTGAATAAATTAAAATTTATAATTTTAATAATCTGAAAAATTAATTTATTTGTGTTTCATAAGATAGTTGTTGGTATGGAAATATTGTATTTCATTATTAGCTAATACTGAAAAAAAATATAAAATTCAGTTTTTAGTTTAAAAAAAAAAAGACAATACCATACTTACAACCAACTCAATAAGACAACCTAAAACCCAAAAGTGTATGGTGGTGTTGATCATTTTGATGAAAGTGTGCCTAGATTTTGAGCACATGAGATAGTTATGGCATAAGGGTATGCTTCTTTTTCTTTGTATATGAATGATACTTTGATGTTTTACACAGATATGTCTGGGTTGGGGAAACTCATGATGATATTATATTATTATTTCTGAAGATGGAGAGGTGTTGTGTGTGGTGTGATGTTGGTTTGTTTGGGTTTACTATGGAGTAGAATTAAATGTGGGTGTGAGTGATGGTGGTGGTGCTTTAGACTTTGGTATGAGAAGTAGTTGAAAGGTCACTTTCAGTAATGTGGGAGTCCCTGTCATGCTAGTTTATTGGTCACAACATCTCACTGATGCGTAAACAGCCTGCTAAACTTCTGTATTCATCAAGGCATGATGTACTCTTTTTTTCCTTTTGTTCTTGTCTGCAATTCAGATCATCTCGCCAATGCCCAACCATTCATCTCATCTATCATTATTGGGTGGGAATTAACTGTTCCCTGTCGTGTCCCTTTCTCCCTCCTTCATCTACAAAATCATAAACTCTTTCAAATTACTATTTCTAGATGTCTAATTTTTTGTTTACACAATCCAAACCAATGATCCACAACTACCCATGTTCCTTATACCTCTTAAATCAATTCTTTGTTTTTAAATAATGTTGTCATGTTTTATTCTACGTGGGACTTTAGTAAATATTAGCTTGAGAACCAACATTTTTTTCCTAACTATTACAACGCTAAGAAGAAAAAAAAAGGTTATTTTCACTATTTTCTCTACACTTTTTCTTAATTCTAGGAATAGTGACAGATTGTGTTTGATTTCAATGTTATTCTGTAATGCCTCTGCTATGCTGCTGCTGCATAATGTGCTTTACTTTAATCAGAAACATCTACAGACCTTATAATTTTCTTGCATTGATGGTGATCACACAGTGTTCTTGCTGGAAAGTATTATTCTTTTGCAAGTAAGAACCATTTAAATTGCCACTCCTTTTGTTAACCAAAGAATATATGTTAGGGCATGAATTGTCTTTGCCAATGTCTACCATTATTGAGAAGCTATATATGTTTGTCAATTTTTTTGTATGTGTGCAGAATCTTGTTAGCCGCTATTTCTGACCATTGATACGTTTATATACTTAAATATATAATAAATGAAGTTGTATCTATTCTTTGCATGTATTGATTATATCTTTGCACATGCTGTACCCTCTTTGTTGTCTATTTTCCATCTTGGTGAATTTTGTCATGTGCAATTGATTATTTGTTTATTCAGAAAATAAAACTAAAAATAAACTTTGTTTGCCCTGGATTCTGGGGTGATGTCTTCTATTCGTAATGTAATTAAGTTTAGCACTGTTTCAGTTTGAAAACTTTGTTATTATATTACTATTATTTAATAAGATTAAAGTAGGGTTTGTGTAGGAAAGAAGTCTAACTCATCAAAAAATTAATGGTTTAATTTATTTTGGTAAAAGATAGTTGCATTTATGGTAATGCATGAAACCACTTACAATCTTGTGGTTACTTTTCCTTCGCTTTGTGATTTTTTTTTTCGTTGTCGGTATAATGTTCGTGAACTGTCCAACACAACCCATCATGTCAACCAAAAAAATTAACAGTCACTGATTTTGTCTCGATGAATCATGATATTACCTATATACCCTTACTATGTCTCTTCCTCAATTTTGTCCCAGGGTTACTTTTGGAATTTCGTGACTTTGTTCCAGACTTTATGCAACATTTGTCATGTTGATATGTTTGCTACGTACCAACTAATCTTTTTCTCTGTTGTATATGATTTGATTAACTAACGTGATCAATATATCTATTAACATTAAAAAATTGAAAGTGTGTGTTATATGAATCAATTATAGAATCATCAAATCTAATGTAAATAAACATTTATTGTCAACACAAAATGTATCCAAACAAAATTTATTTATTAATGTAAATAAACATTTCTTATCAACACCAAAAGCTATTAGTAATTATCTAATTACTTGGATTGGAAGTATTTGATTTTGTAAAATTAAGTTAAAATATCCTATTCTTGATTTTAGAGAGTTGATTAAGCATTTTATACAATCAAGAATGAATATATATATATATATATATATATATATATAT